TAATAAACTGAAATGGTTAAATTAATAGTTTCCCAGGTTTCAGTAATATGATCCATTCTAAAGGTAGATAACAAGTTAGGAGGCTAGGCCCTGAATATCATTCAAGTTAGGTTGCATTGATGTTTAACAATCGTAAATTTACAGGACGAAAAATCACCAAACTAGTTTTTTAAATCATTTCTTACAGGGTCCTCTGTCATTTTAAAGTCCATTTATTTCAACCCAGGTTTTTAACCCAGTTGTTTATAAACAATGCAATTTTATTTGAGAAAAAAAACTTAAAATGTTTTTAATAAAAGTCCTCTGTGATGAAAATGTTAAAGAAAGGAGTTCTTAGATAAGGAAATTAAGATTCAAAGGAAGTAAATATCGAGGAAATGTTTTTTTAGTCTTCGTTTTGTCAAACTATCAAAAAGAAGGTTCCTGCATGAAAACCATCAGCATACCTCTCCCTGACCGTCTCTTTTCCTTCCATACCGTATACGGGATGCATCTCTGATAAATGCCCGAAGGATGGATGGGCTGACACAGGGGCCGGACAATAATGGCTGATCTACAGGACACAAATGCGGCTACTGAGAAGATTTATGGGCCACTACACATCTAACACCATCCGGTATCCAATGAGATAATTTCTCAAAACTCTAGAGAGATGGCAGCAGTGGAACTCCTCTCTCTTGTCCCACTGTATTACTGATTAATCGCATGTACTGTGCAGAAGCAGGTCCTGCAGTGCACCGGGGAAACAGGATAGTTGCCATAAAGATGACATTAAGAGAAGCTCCAAACACGAGGACCAAGAGACAGGGAGAATGGTTCTTTAAAAGCAAGCTAATTAATTGGTGTGGCTAAAAAAAAACAGAAATGTTCTTTACTGTAAAAACCTAAAATAGCTCTAAGATTTATTCCTCTCGACATACAACTCACACCATGTAATTTTAAATTAAAATTATAGGGTACCAATGCATTTTCTTAGACTGTATATCTATGAGTATTTTACCTTTATTCCTTATGTGTGCACTTTAGCTGGATGCCAGGATGTTTTCTCTTTTTTAAACAGGACTTAGAAGACAAAAATAATTTTTCTTATTGTGATGTACCAATCAACTGACAATCAAGATCATACAGTTTTCTCATTTCTGAATGCGTTGGTAACCTGCAGGTTAAATTTGGGTAAATGGTTCTACTTCCCTACCAAAGTATGTCAGAGACAGAGACATCCACCGATTCATTTTTCCTATAATTAGTTTGTCCTTATTGTACAGTTGGGTATCTCAGGTGATATGTTACAAATCTTAATACGTAGCCAAAGATAAAATACATGATGAGCAAACATTGATTTGATATGTTTGACTTTACCAATATTATCCAACTGTATAACTCCAATTCACCCTGAAGTATATCAATTTTTAAACAGCTTGAACCAAACTGACCTGGATTGATGCAGTTCTTCACATCGATGTCAAAGTAAAAACGCTCTTCTCATAGAATCATATAGATAGAATTATGGCTCATTTACAAAATAATGACCATCTTTTATTTTCAAGCAAACGCTGAAAAACAGGCATTCAAATTTCGTCCAAAAACAGCATCTAATGACAGCTGCTGTAAGGATGTAAGCATGTTTCCATGAAGCCAAACAAACTGATTTATCTTAGTCTACTTAAAATAACATTCATATTAATTTATTTGTTAATAATCTTTGTAAAAATGTGAATCTACAGTTTGGACTAGATGAGGCTCTACCTGAAATATCCAACATCAGATTAGTTTCAAACTGAGAATGTCAAACTTCAGACAGATTGTAGAATTTCAAACCTTTTTGGCAATTTAGGGACAATTAAGAAACCAAAGAGGTCAAGTATGATCTGGGCTTCAAATTAAACTCAATCTGAATTGTAGACAAAGAATAATGCTTTCTTTTTATATACTACCCCATAAGAAGTACAGTTTCAGATCATTAATCCTCACTTTGTGTATTCAGGAGTCTAGCAGGATCAATATTACAGATGAGAACAAGGCAGCAGGCCACCCCAACAGTTAATGTCTGATCAAAATGGCCCTTTAATTGGGAACGTTGTTGTACTGGCCTCAATTTAAAGCACTATCAAACAGCAGTTTACTATCCCTTCCTCAATGCCAAGCTGATGTGGCTGCCAATGTAACTTTCATAAGATCTCTGATTAAAAACTGCTCTGCAGTCCCCAGCCTCTTGACCCCTCACCCCGGCTTCACTCCATCTCCGAGGTTGGGAAATTAATTAAAATTTCCAAGAGATTGTATCGTGATCGCATCTCTGAAGAGGGTGTATGGGGGTGGTAAGGTAGAGAGGAGGAAGTGAAAAAAAATAAAAAAATCAAAGTCCTCTCCATCTTCCTCATTCAGCAGAAAGGTAGGAAAAAGTCACAAGATGGCTACAGAGGCACTTCCTGTGTGAGAATTGAGTATTTCCTGTGCCGGAGGGCCCAAGAAACTTCACTAAATAACACCATCAATCATGGTATGGGCTCACTCTCACCGGCTCACAGAGAGAACAAACACACAAATAATTATACGTTGTAATTTAGCCTGGAGCAAAGTCTGTCCCTGTTTCCCTCTTTTCCCTGGTGGGAAGCAGCAGATCATTCCCACCTTTCTCCCCCCTCCTTACCCCCTTTACACAACAATAAAATTACATTTGCATTAGCTGTGAGAGAATTTGGTTGGATGATTTATTGAAGCAATCAACACTGCACTGGCCAATCCCCGGCCGCCTCACTTAAAAAGCCTCAGCGTGTGTGTGGGTGTGTGTGTGTGCGTGGGTGTGTGTGGCTGGGAGCTTTGGGGAAAAGGAAGGAATAGCTTGGGCTATGAACCAAAAGGGGGAAGCGAGGCATGAGCTGTGCAGCGGTGCAATCACTGAGATTCTGCCTTTGATTAGATTAGCATTAAACAACACCCTGACAGATATGACAAATAGGTGCATTAGTGCCTGTCATTCTCCTCTCTTTGGTTCGCTGTCTAGCTTTCACTCCTGCCATTGCTTCGTCTCCGGACATTACGAGGCTCACATTCCCTCCCGGAGTCCCACTAGCCCCAGTTCTCAAGGCCAATGACATCCAAACAGATGTGTAATCTGGCTGCATTACCTTTCGGTGGAAGAAGCAAAATGAGTGATGGGAACCAAACGACATATGGGGAGTCACAAGGAGAAGGAAAGAAATGATGATTAAAAGCACGCAAAACAATCCTGTTGTCCTTATCATCGAGTAATCACAGTTGCGCTCTTGGTAAATTGACTGTGATTATCTGCATTTCTTGGTTAAATTTAACCAGTCACACCGAAGCCTGATTACTACCAGACCTGTGGAATCAATACACAGCTTAAATAGAACTCGTCTACCATGGGGAGCTCAGTTAAAAGATGTTAAAAGGCAAGGAATCATCCAATGCTCTGATTTGGAGAAATTCAAAAGATGATAGAATTAATCATTAAAGACTCTGGGAAAGGCTGAAAAGCAATAACTAAGGGTTTTAGGCTTCACTTAATCATAATGAGAATGGAAAAAAAACAACGGGGCACAATCCAGGAGGGGCTAGCATAACAATATTACCAAAATGACTCATCTAGGAGGTAAGAAAAAAATCTGACTCCAACAAGAAGAAACAGAATGGACAGGAACTGCATCTGCAGGAGAGCTCCAATGCAAAAACAACTGCTGATCATCAAAAACACAAAGGCCTGTCCTAAAACCAAACCTCTATGATGACAGCCAAGATTTTTCTGTAGACTGATGATGAATAAGCTTTTTATTTTCCTAAATAGATGGATTTGGAAACCCATTACTGTATTTACTCCGGTCATCTTTATCATCTGCTAAAATTAGCTTGATGGTCTGAAACATGCAGCCACGACAATAAATAAAGAAAAAAAACAAAAAAAAAAACAGAATAAATGTGTATAGAGAATGCATACTTTTCAACACTGCATTTCAGTAAAGCTGAAGATGCTGATGAAGGTTCTCAGTCATCCAGGTCAAAGTCATTCCGTAAAAATTCAAAAAATATCCACTGGACTTGGTTTTCAAGATTTGAAGACGTTTCGCCACCTCTCCAGGAAGCTTTCTCAATTCAAATGTCTGGATCCGCAGTGAGTTTGAGTCTTATATAGACAACGCCTTGTATCGCTTGGAATGCAATGGCATGCAATGGTAACCGATATTATCGGTTATGTTGCATGTTTCCAAGCGATACAAGGCGTTGTCTATGGTAACCGATATTATCGTTTATGGTAACCGATATTATCGGTTACCATTGCATGTTTCCAAGCGATACAAGGCGTTGTCTATATAAGACTCAAACTCACTGCGGATCCAGACATTTGAATTGAGAAAGCTTCCTGGAGAGGTGGCGAAACGTCTTCAAATCTTGAAAACCAAGTCCAGTGGATATTTTTTGAATTTTTACGGAATAAAGCTGAAGACTAACTGAATGGACATGCTTCCAGGTATAAAGAAACCTAAAGCCTACAGTGGGACTGTGTTTTTAATTTTGTGCAGCCGAGAGGCTTTATTGGCTTTGCATCTCTGAGTGACAATCAGCCACTCTGTAGTGATCCATCGACAACCCTGATCATTGATCCGCCCACATCTGCTTATGATCCCTGAATTAGTATTCAGGATTCCAGGAGCAGCTAAATAAACTTGACAACAAAAACACCCACAGGAGAACTGAGAAGAAAGAGTCAATCAATGCAAAGCACCATCAAATCTACATCATCCACCAGGGCCAGCACACGGGTCAAAGGTGACACGGACAGGTCGGCCAGTCTTGACCTTCTGACCGATATTTGCAGCTAAAGATGCGACTTCTCTGATTCTTCACTCTCAGTGAATGTAGAAAGGTAAACAAGGCTGGGATGGAGGGACGATAAGGCTCTGTGGATTTACTGCACCTCAAGGTAAGGCTGATAAATCAGGCTGTAGAAGAGCTCAAAGAAAAGATAAAGATGCCAGACTCACCTGAGAACAAAGCAGCATGACGAGCTCCACCACAGAGCTGCTGGACTTCATGCACACCAAGCCTGAAGACAAACAAATGTCACAAGCAACATAGTTTTGCTTAAAATGTTTTTGTACAGTCATAGTTACATAGCAATAACACACCATTATGACTTTGGAGCTTCTAATGATTTATTAGCCCAACTCTTTTTACAAACCTTTTATAAAAATCCACTAACAATGTTTCAGTCAAGTGGACAACATGACATGGGCTCTGTTTTCACTGGCTTGCATTTCCATGTAGGCAGAGCCATCTTGCTGCCATCTAAGAAGTTTTGTCTACGCTCTCTGACAGCTTGCGTTGCGAGCTGGTTTGTCACAAGATCCTAGTTTTCAGTCTCACAAAAAATACATCTTAAAAGAGTCCCAATAATACGTCAGTCTCTGAACCATCAGCGGGTTTGTCCAAGGACATGCCAGCAGTGTTTTTTGGAGCGGGACATGTCGGAATGACGACAGTCAGAAGGACCTTGCTGGGGCATTAGAAAAATGGCTAAGCTGGAGAACTCACCTGTCAATATCGCAATTGACTGTTTTAGATAAAATAGCAACAATTCCTCATTTAAAAAGGAGCAAAGTGAAGCACTTTGCATTTGTAGATGGGAAAGAGGTCTGTCTTTTTCTTCCCACAGGATTTGGAAAAAAATTGGTTTATCAGCTTACTCTGCTAGTTGAGAAAACACTCGAGAAGCTGCGGACGAATCATCGTGATGCTACGATTGGATGAAAGCGTATTATGGAAGCGGGCTACTAGCTGGCACGTCACCCGATCAGATGGAAGTTTTGTACTAAACGTCCCTCCTTTTCACAGACAGATTGAACGGCAGCCATCCCAGATGGAACACATAGAACTCAACTCAGTGCTACACATATCAATGTAGCTCCGGCCAAGTTACTCTGACAGAGCTAGTAGAGCTTAACTACGCACAAACTGAGCTTTAAAGCACAGAGTTCAAATGGGACAAGTGCAGAGCTTTGGGTAGGCCTATCCTTAACCTCGAAGCTATCCTACTTTAGGCATTCCAAAATAGTTTTTATCTTCTGCCTGAGACTATACCTTTTAGAACACCTAACTGTGCAATAGTGAAATGATTAAATTTGTGCTTTTTTCCATCTTTGTTATTCAGTCTCGGTTGATCTTACACCAGAACTACTGGAAATACAACAACCCCAAAGCATGATGCTGCCTCTGCCTTGCTTCTAAGTTTAAAACCGTCAATTTGATGAAGCCCAAAAAATTTAATAAAAAAAGACTTTCAATTAGGAATAAATTTATCAGTGTTGGTTTGTCTTAAGCTTAAATGGATCAACAGAAGCAGAGGAACTTCTTTCTTAGGAGGCACCCACTCATTCTAATGTAGAATCAAAATGAGGGCCAACAAATACTTCTATTCTAAGAAAGAGAATACTCAAGCCGCACTAATTCAAAGTGATAGAATAGTCTAGTTAATAGGCCTGTGGAACTCTGGCCCATCGCAAATGATAGAAAATCAAGAATAACTTATAAATTGTGCATAAATTTTCAAGACAGGAGAAAATGTTCAAATCAGCTCTTTAAAGATCAGATTAGAATGTCCCTCCTATCCTGATTGAGGGTGTTGGTTCTACGCTTTTATCCTACTTGTGCAAACCAATGCACTTTAAGACTTGCACCAACAGACAGGGATTATCTAACCTCATGCCATCTGCAAGGGAGAGGGTAGTATTGATGCGCCTAATGAGGCGACATGATGTTACTGTAAACTAATACATATTTAGGCCTTGTATTACAGGCGTCACTTGACCAACATATGTCCCCATTGATCTTTAATGGGAAACCAAAGGCTTTTAAAGGGCGGGGGGCCAGAGGAGTGTCCAGAGTGTGCAGTGGGGGCACAGAGGGGGGATACAGCAGAGAAGCTTTTGGTCTTTTTCGCTGTTCTTACAATGACACAGTATCTACCTTATTTAAAAAAAGCCCCATACTCTAACACATACATGAGTATTTACACACCCTCCAATACATTTTTGCCACCCTTCTTCCTGAAGCTATCAATCAACTTTCCATTTTGTTTGGTGGCAGCAGACATCCCAAACACTGCTATTAGTGCCGTGGCCTCTGACCCTGCCCCCTGGAAACCATCAGCACAAATACCCAGCTCATTGTCCTATGCGGCAGATCGCCATGTTGAATTAAAAGTCTGGAAGTGTTATTGCATCTAAATGAGCAGCACTGCATCAAAGACGCCTGCGATGTTGACATGATATAACCCTCTGACTGCTCTGCTGAGTTATGTTGAGGTCATACTCACTGGCGCCCTCGATGAGCAGCTCCTGACCATGGCTGCCCAGCAGAGTCCGAGAGAGAAATGGAGCAAAGTCCACAAAGATCTCTCTCAGCAGAGGAGCTGCTTTTTCCAGCGCGTGCTCCAAACGCTCCGAGATACTGAAATCATTTTAACCATAAACAAAGAGACAAAGTGCACGTTTAGAAGAATACAACTATTATTCCTCTATTAAGTAAATCATGAATGACTCTGGAATAGCTGCAAAATCTGCTTTTAATGAATCATTCAGATCAAAGATATAAAAAATAAAAGTATGCTAATGCGTGCAAACAGCTGATAGTGCATGTATGTGCACAGACAGGGCGAGGGAAAAAAATAAGATGAATCACCTCATATTGGGGGCTGTGTTCTGGGTCACAGGGGAGAGTGGGGGGACAGATGGCAGGCTAGAGCTGGCTGGAACCTGGCCTCCTGCTGCAGGGAGAAACCAAAGAACACTGTTATTAGTCTGGATGGTGGACAAGAACAAACACACGCACACAACAGCAAGAAATATTCAGGGCTGCAGCTTATTGAATGATTGTGGTGTTTATAAGAGATGCACAGAGGAATAGGCTTATAACCAAGGTTACCCTATTTTCTGTCTTAAAATCATTAGTAATATTAAACGCACATTACTAAATGTTACCAGGTTAAAATAACATGTTAGAGAAAAGAAAGCAATATAAAAGACATTTAAAAGAAAGCAGAACTTGTTTCAAGCAGAACTGTTCTGTTGATCCTTTTGATCCTCTGTAATAGAAGAGGCTAGATGGGAAAAGGGTGGAAAGAGTTTAAAATCCCATGGTTCAGGAAGAGATTGAAACTTTAAAATACACACAGAGACTGTTTTTTTACAGAAAGTCACACCAATCTAGTCAAATGTGCTATTCGTCAAGAAAAGATGCAAAATTGAGTTTAAAATGTCCATTGCGTAATTATTTAGTCTTCACAAGCCTTTAAAGCTAATCATTATTTGTTCACATCAGTTTAAAGTAGTTTAAGAATAAAGTATTAAAGTTTCCAAAAGAAAACAAAAAAATGTTTTTAAATATCAAATGAAAAATAATACCTTTTTTAATAGTTTCCCCTCATTAAATCATTGGTTACCAATTCCTCTGGGCTGTTTGACTGTTATATTATCCCCCTAAAAGGTGCTTTATGACTTAATTTTGGTGACAGAAGCACACAAGCTACAAAGTCTGGATTTGATTGATCTGGCAGTAAATTCTCTTCTCTGTGCCTCATAAATAAGCTAATGCCCAGCTGAATATGGAAAAGGGATGGGGGGGTCTTGTTTTTCCAGCCAGGACAGTCTCAGAGCAGGGATAACTCTTTGGGAATGACACGCAGTGTAATGTGTGCTGGAATGCGTGTGTGTATGAGGTGTTAAACAGTGCCATGTGGACCTAGTGGGAGCATCCCTCTCAAGCTGAAGTAGCTCCTTCAAACAAATGAGTGTCTCCATTAGTCCTACCACTGCCCCATTAAAAAATATATTTACTCCAATACGAATCACTGACTGACTCCCGGCACCAGGTGGATACAGCCTCATTTAGTTTTACCCAAAAATAATGACTCCACAAAGTCTATTTGTGGACTAAGAAATGAGAAAGAGGTAAATTTTTCAGAATAAAGCGGAACAATAAAATAGATGCTCTTCTATTAGACTATCAGACAAGCTGGATTTAGATTTTCCTGCATGTTTAAGGGCATGTATTGTCCTTTTTACATACAGTACAGACCAAAAGTTTGGACACACCTTCTCATTCAAAGATTTTGCTTTATTTTCATGACCACAAAAACTGTAGATTCACTCTGAAGGCATCAAAACTATGAATAAACACGTGTAATTATTTACTTAATAAAAAAGTGTGAAACAGCTGAAAATATGTCTTATATTCTAGGTTCCTCAAAGTAGCCACTGTTTGCTTTGATCACTGCTTCACACACTCTTGGCATTCTCTTGATGAGCTTTAAGTAGTAGTTACCTGAAATGGTTTTCACCTAATAGGTGTCCCCTGTCAGGTTTAAAAAATGGGATTTCTTGTCTTATAAATGGGGTTGGGACCATCAGTTGTGTTGTACAAAAGTCAGGTGGATACACAGCTGATAGTCCTACTGAATAGACTCTTAGAATTTGTATTTTGGCAAGAAAAAAACAAATTAAGTAAAGAAAAACGAGTGGCCATCATTACTTTAAACAATGAAGGTCAGTCAGTCCGAAAAATTGTCAAAACTTTGAAAGTGTCCCCAGGAAAGGAAGACCAAGCGTTCATCCAAGTCACCAGCCTTAGAAATCGCAGGTTAACAGCAGCTCAGATTAGAGACCAGACCAGAGTTCAGGCAGCAGACACATCTCTAGAACAACTGTTAAGAGGAGACTGTGTGAATAAGGCCTTCATGGTAAAATAGCTGCTAGGCAACCACTGCTAAGGACAGGTAACAAACAGAAGAGACTTGCTTGGGCTAAAGAACACAAGGAATGGACATTAGACCATCGGAAATCTGTGCTTTGGTCTGATGAGTCCAAATTTGAGATCTTTGGCTCCAACATATGTGGCTTTGTGCAAAGCAGAAAAGGTTAACGGATGAACCCTACATGCCTGGTTCCCACTGTGAAACATGGAGGAGGAGGTGTGATGGTGTGGGGGTGCTTTGCTGCTGACACTGTTGGCGATTTATTCAAAATTGAAGACATACTGAACCAGCATGGTAACCACACCTCCAAGCTGTGTAAGGGCTATTTGATCAAAAGGAGAGTGATGGGGTTCTGTGCCAGATGACCTGGCCTCTTCGATTACTGGATCTGAACCCAATCAAGATGGTTTGGGGTGAGTTGGACCACAGAGTGAAGGCAAAAGGGCCAACAAGTGCTAAGCATCTCTAGGAACTCCTTCAAGACTATTGGAAGACCACTTCAGGTGACAAGAGAATGCCAAGAGTGTGCGAAGCAGTAACCTTCTTTGAATGAGAAGGTGTGCCCATCTTTTGGTCTGTACTGTATTTACCTACTCAATTATAGTTACACTTGCATCTCATGAATATTAAATTCAATTCCAAGTCTAATATTTAGAATATGTTAAAAAGCATAACAAGAATAAAAGTCAGCTGAGAAGTGTGTCCGACTAATGGTTGTGCTGCCATCAGTAAGCCAAAACCCTAATGTGCAACATGCATCTCCTCCAAACTAACAGTTTATAAAGTGCTGATTTATGGCCATTGTTCTAGTCAGGAGGATGAAGTCAAAAGATCTTCTGTCTGAGCGCTGTGACTTGGTACAAAACAAACCAGCGTACTATTGAGGGATTTCAAAGCGATCTACAGAAAGACCAGTCTGGATGTAATTCATCACAGTCAATCAACAGAACACTTTCAACACTAATTGAGCGACTGTTTACTTATTTCTCATCAGTCTGTTTTAGCTTCTCTACAATGAGGAAACGATTAAATTACTCAACGCAAGAAAGTAATCCACGTGGGATAACTGACCCCCAGATAGCACATCCTCAGTCACCGCCCCGCTCCAGACTTCAACTTTTAAATCAACATATTGTGAAAAGAGAAACGTTGTTGTCTGTAATCTCTGCAGGGTTGATTCTTGACCTTTTTTGATTCCTCCTTTACTAAAATATAATTTCCTATCAGCAGGATAGATAATACATAAAATGTTAAAATAATAATGTTTACAGCAAAATATCTTTTTTTTAACAATATACACTTCATACATTTTTCTCATAAAACTAGTTTAAAGTAAGATAAATATTAAACTTAGAATTAAGCATCTCAATCTGTTCTCTTCAAGGGATTTACTAATATAGAAGCTAATGAGATTGCAAGATTTTTTGGCTTGATTGTCCAAAAGCAGACAGACTAGTCAGAAACCTTTAAGGCCTAACCTTTTGTCAACCAGTAGATGCACCAAACTAAAGGATAACAGCTGATGGTAACATGAAAGAGGACAGAGAAAGATTAAAAAGTTATTTATAAGCTACAAGGCGGAGCATACTTGGTAGCCTGCCCTTACGTCTCTATAGTTTTATTTTTCTGTTTGTACAGAAACCTACCATCAGCCGAGTCCTCAGAAGGATCCTGGGAGGCATCAACTGAAGAAACCACAGCAACACTGTCAACTGAAGTTCCACCAGAGACTGAAGCAGCAGTGGAGGTCTGGGCGGAGGTAGAAGGCACTTGAGACGACAACGTGCCCGCTTTCTTCGGCGCAACGACGACACTTCTGCAAAGAGAAGATATTTATCATGCCTTTATTGTTACCCTGGGAGAACTACTAGGAGAAAACACAGACAAGGACATTACGCAGGAAGCCTTAACACTCTGATGCACAGTGTAAGTGGTTCAGCAACATCGAATCTGGAAATACTCCATATTAATTTATAAACATTTTTCATAAAAAAACAAAATAAAAACACCACCACAGAAATGTTCTTCAAGCTAAAAACAGAGTTAAATCATCAGGTTTGTTTCAGAAATATTTGGATGTTATTTCTTCAACAACACTCTTCAACACACTCTTTAAGTACTTTTACTGTTAAGTTTTATTTGAACGCATAAGCATGTTTAAATAAAGATGAACTATAAACTGGAACATTGTTAATAATTTTAAAGTTTTGAACTTTTGGACTTTAAAAAGGTTTATTTTTGTTTCCAAAAGCTGCTATGAAGCTCATTCAATAACTGACTGTTGCATCTTACAGTAGATGCACAAAGGAGCACCTCCATAGATCCTCCTCTCCACCTGCTGTCAGACTTTATAACCTTCTCCAAACAGGCCCAACAGCTGTTTATACTGTAAATATGCTTCTGGTTCCAAAGGTTTTCCAGCTGGTTGAGAAATAATTAGCCTTTTTTTACTCTGCTTTGTGTGTTTTACAGAAATTAAAACTAATATAGTAAGAGTACATTCTTAGCTACTTTGAACCTCAATAGAGCCCCGAGTTAGTCTTGCATTCTGATCAACACTGCAGCATTTAGCAGATTCTTAACAATCAGCCTTTCCTTGTGAAGTTGTGTCTTCACCTGCCTTCCTCTGATGCATCATCCACAGCTACTGGAACCATCCCATGGAGGCCCCGTTTTATAGAAGCTGTGTTTTAACACCTTTTTTACTTTGGATACATCTGGTCTTTACTTTGATATATCAAAAAAAATCATCTTGAAATTGTTCAGTTTTTTTTTTTTCTGTTTTCTTAAAGTCTATAAGTCGGTAGCATCTCCTTGGGAATTAACAGGGACCTTATCCTCACAAAAAACTCTTATTAAGGAAGACCTTGGTAATTATATCTTCTCACCGATAGAATGCCCTTTACTTGGCTCAGGGTTGCAAATAATGATATACACATATATATATATATATATATATATATATATATACACACACATATATATATATATATATATATATATACACATATATATATATATATATATATATATATACACATATATATATATATACACATATATATATATATATATATACACATATATATATATATATACACATATATATATATATATACACATATATATATATATATATATATATATATATATATATATATATATATACACTATATTGCCAAAAGTATTTGCTCACCCATCCAAATTATTGGAATCAGGTGTTCCAATCACTTCCATGGCCACAGGTGTATAAATTCAAGCACCTAGGCATGCAGACTGTTTTTACAAACATTTGTGAAAGAATGGGTCGCTCTCAGGAGCTCAGTGAATTCCAGCGTGGAACTGTGATAGGATGCCACCTGTGCAACAAATCCAGTCGTGAAATTTCCTCGCTCCTAAATATTCCACAGTCAACTGTCAGCTGTATTATAAGAAAATGGAAGTGTTTGGGAACGACAGCAACTCAGCCACGAAGTGGTAGGCCACGTAAACTGACGGAGCGGGGTCAGCGGATGCTGACGCGCATAGTGCGAAGAGGTCGCCAACTTTCTGCAGAGTCAATCACTACAGACCTCCAAACTTCATGTGGCCTTCAGATTAGCTCAAGAACAGTGCGCAGAGAGCTTCATGGAATGGGTTTCCATGGTCGAGCAGCTGCATCCAAGCCATACATCACCAAGTGCAATGCAAAGCGTCGGATGCGGTGGTGTAAAGCACGCCGCCACTGGACTCTAGAGCAGTGGAGACGCGTTCTCTGGAGTGACGAATCGCGCTTCTCCATCTGGCAATCTGATGGACGGGTCTGGGTTTGGCGGTTGCCAGGAGAACGGTACTTGTCTGACTGCATTGTGCCAAGTGTAAAGTTTGGTGGAGGGGGGATTATGGTGTGGGGTTGTTTTTCAGGAGCTGGGCTTGGCCCCTTAGTTCCAGTGAAAGGAACTCTGAATGCTTCAGCATACCAAGACATTTTGGACAATTCCATGCTCCCAACTTTGTGGGAACAGTTTGGAGCTGGCCCCTTCCTCTTCCAACATGACTGTGCACCAGTGCACAAAGCAAGGTCCATAAAGACATGGATGACAGAGTCTGGTGTGGATGAACTTGACTGGCCTGCACAGAGTCCTGACCTCAACCCGATAGAACACCTTTGGGATGAATTAGAGCGGAGACTGAGAGCCAGGCCTTCTCGTCCAACATCAGTGTGCGACCTCACAAATGCGCTTCTGGAAGAATGGTCAAAAATTCCCATAAACACACTCCTAAACCTTGTGGACAGCCTTCCCAGAAGAGTTGAAGCTGTTCTAGCTGCAAAGGGTGGACCGACGTCATATTGAACCCTATGGATTAGGAACGGGATGTCACTTAAGCTCATATGTGAGTCAAGGCAGGTGAGCAAATACTTTTGGCAATATAGTGTATATATATATATATATATATATATATATATGGCAAAAGTTATCCAATCATCCACCCACCCAGCTGCCAAGGTCCAAAGGCTGTAGATACTCAGTCAAGACTCTTCTTGTTAAATACAAGTTGTTTGTTTCTACTGACACATGTTAAAGAGTAATAACATAATATAATTTGCTTCCTTAAATAAACTTTTACCCCTGGCATTATTAATAGAATATGACTGCAATGTTAAATAGCTAAGATCAAAGTAGAGAAAATGGGATTGAATTTATATTTTCATATGCGTCTGTATATGATTATTTGTCTAAAAAAAGAAAGCGTCATGAAATGACAATTGATAGAGGACGGCTAAATCATTAATCATCACATGCAAATTTTAGCGTGTGTAAAAATCTACTTGGTGTAAAGATTTGTTTGCAGAAAACTGAATAACACCAATCTATTATTACCATTTCTACATTTAGGTTACCATAGGATGAAAGTAACCATCTTTTAAGCAGATTTACCATAAATAGCCATCTGTGGGGTGAGTGACGGGAGTGGCTGGTGGCTGGTTGACAGTCCTGATGATATCAGAGAAGCACAGATGTCTGCATGTATATTGTCCAATGAATACTGTGACTGATCCATGATAAATGGTTTGGCACATGAAAACAGTCCAAGTTATAATTAAGTGAACGTCATGTTGGGACTGGTTTGAAGATGAGGGGTAGCAGAGCATTCACTTCACCTTCAAGCTGTCTTCATGTTATAACTGCAAACTACTGCATCACATTTATAAGCTGTTTATGTTGATAATAGAGTTCTTGACTCCTGTATCTATAGAGGACAAAGATTATTACATATTTTGTGTTTTTAGAAATTATATAAAAACGACTTGTTCGCTATGTTGTGCAGCATGCTCATGAACATGAAAATGTTCATGAGCAAGTTTTTATTTATTGTGGCCATTCTGGTTTCTGCAAATTGAGGCAAGTCACATACAGAGAATACATACTGAGTCATACTGAAATTCCTTTAAGGTAAATCTATAATAAAAACAATAAAAAAAACTTAATTAAATAAAAAATATATATTTATATTTACAAATTATATTTAGCACAGCAACAATTAAGTCGTTGCAGCTTCCTGTAACTAATTCAGCATAAAGGAAAGTGTGTTTTAATTCCCATCAGTCGACCAGAAGATGGGAGGAGAGTAGCATGCAGATAAGCTGTCAGTTTGGAGCAGGACTCTGACAGACCACTGGTCATATCAAAGGGAGTCTGGTCATGCTTATCGGTGCTGACACAGGGAAAGCAGGGTCTAATCACCGACTACTGCTACCTCTCAGAAACACAACCCAACACAGACTCACCAAGATATGCATCAAACACACCAGTCTGAATACAAAAGTGGAACCAGGATTTCACAGCAGAGCTAGCATACATTCCTACTGTGCTTCCTAGAGCCAGTGCATGTGTGCATACCGCTAGGCACTCACACATGCAATAAAATATTGGTATCATTGGTTCCCACAGTGCAGACAGAACCCTGGCTGCAGTATCAAAGAGTGGGCCCGGTTTGATTTACAGCAGATTAACTAACAGGTACCATGCGGGTTTTTCAACTGAAAACATACCAAAGATGAAGTAGGTTTCGGGTTACATTCAAACGCAAGTAAACAAATGAAATGAAATCAGAACCCATATCCTGTAATGGCGAAGATAGAAGTATTCTGCTTATTTAGGTTTTGATTGTAAGTGAACTGATTAGAGGTATCAGCAAGCAGGGGCGGCGTTGACATGAGGAGCTCTGGTTGTTAACAGCAGCACAGGAAAAGAAAAAAGGGAGACAGAGCGCCCCTTGTGTCTAGAGGATGGAGATATGAGAGTAAAGTCCTCAGAAATACTCACACACTTGTGTGGACATACAAAAACCTGCAATAGTCAGATCACAGACATGTTTGTCTACATGTTCAGCCTTCTATCTGCTCCTTAGTGAAGGGCCTGTGAATTATTCAGTAGGTCATTAGCCACACTTATGAGAGAGCCGCCCCAGTCGATTAATCAGCCATGAGCTGCTACACTCAACCTGCAAACAGAAGCCCAGAGGGAAGCGTGTGTGTATGTGTAGTGGAGACTGAATTATTTAAAGCCCTGAACACACAGAGAATAACAGCAGACAGCACTGTGTTTCTAGTAGTCTGTGTTATTTTAGGTCAAAAGGTGTGACTGAAGAGCAAAATGTTTAAGATGCATGGATTGATTTTTTTAATTATATATTTACAGTTACTTAATCTGTCATTTGATCTGAGTAAATAAGGGTTATAAAAAGAAGGTGGAGCCAAAGCTTTTCCCACGAGTTACCAATCAACTCATTCAAATTCCATGACATCAAATGTTAACTGAAGGACAACATCTG